ATACACGGTTCTCAATAATCCCACAACCACAGGCACACATACTCCCAGCTATACACTGGCACAGAGCTCCAGTCTCACACTTGCATATCCAGTTCCCCCCATACTCCATGAGGCTATCCTAGCTAGAATCATTCAAGTACTAGTTAACATGTTTCCTTATTTCCAGTTCAGAGTTTTCCCGTTCAACCCAAGGTTCTCACCACTGTCTCCCTCTTTCCCCCAGATGAACATTCTCCAGTCCAGTTAGACTGTCTTCATGTTGGGCCTGAAGGGAGAAGCTGAACCTCCTTCTGAGAAGCTTGGGCTAGCTACCAGTCACCCCTCCCCCTTCCTCCCCCCAATCAGCCAGGGAAGAGGCAGCACTGGGAAGGGGGGATTTGAGTTGGGTGAACAGCCTGGGCCTGGTTCTCATTTTCCTGCCCAGCATCTGAGTCTTTGTGGGGAAACTTCTGAAGGTTATTAAACACCCGGAGGTCGTTAAATGTGCTGTTAACGAGGTATTAATCAACACCCCTCAGGAAAAAATAAAAAGATGCTATTAACCCTCCCCCCTACCCCCAAACTCCCCCCCAGGAAGCATGAAGATGGCCAGCTCAGTCACATCTTTTGTTCCTTTCCAAAAAGGAAGAGATCCAGGACCAGCAGGCAGGCAGGCACACAGATTAGGGGCAAGAGTTGATGTAGAGCACAGGCAGACCCAGAGCAGGGGGCTGAGGCCCCAGGGGCACCAGGGAGAAGAGAGGAAGGGGGGGGGGAGAGAGAGAGAGAGAGAGAGAGAGAGAGGGAGACAGCCTTTGGCCCTTTGACCCTGGGCTGAAGCAGCATCTGTCACGTGGCAGGAGCCCCTCCCCCCTTCTAGCTTCCTTCGGCAAGTGTGGCCAGGGAGATGAGAGCTGACCAGAGCTAAGCTAGTGGGGGGAAGGGGAACAGATGGGGGGAAGAAAGGTGGGGAATCCCTCAGTCATTGGACCTTCCTTTCCCAATCTTTCTCAGTTTTAAGGAATCAATCTTGGGGGCCTACAGGAGTCTGGGTCTTGTTCCAACGCTTACCTGCAGTGTGATCCTGGATAAGTCACTTCACCTAAATTTTAGTGGCCTCATTTATATAGTGGGGATCGTAATGCTTAACCACATTTTTGCCTTTCTTTGTATCCTTAGTGCTTAGCCTAGTACCTAGTACATGGTAAGCATCCAATAAATATTAACTACCTCCTAAGTCTACAAAAGATCTATTCTGTAAACCTTAATATTCTATATAAAGTTTAGTTTTTATTATTTCCTGGCCCTCAGGAGTCAGCAAACAATCAAAGATTGTTTGTAATTTTAAATTGCTCAAATTAAATAATGTAAGGGTTTAATTTAGTTTAAAGATTTTTTTTTCTAAATCTCTGGAGCCTGCCTAAGTAGATCTTTTAGGATGGGCTTTTAGGATGAGCTCTTCCTGATCCATCACTATATCCACAGTAGATTTGGGATGAGTCCCAAATGGACAGAGTAAAGGTCAACTCAGGAGACAGAGAGAGGAGGTTCCTTGTTGAACTTCTATGACCTCTAAACCTCTCAGAGTAGGGGTTCTTAACCTTTTTTGTGTATTGGACTCCTTGGGAAGCCTGGTAAAGCCCATGGATATTTTCAGAAGGATATTTTTAAATAAATAAAATACATTAAATTACAAAGGCAACTAAAAGTTAGTGAAAATGAAGATGGGATTATTTTCCCCATCCAAGTTCACAGACTTCCCCTGAAACCTAACCAAGGATGCCCTAGAAGTCCCAGTTTGAGAACCCCTTCCTAAGAGGTGGGATAAGAAAATTTCCCAAAGTTTAACACCAAAGGCTAATGAAGAACCATAGAGAAATTAAGGGAGCAAGGGGTTAACTTAGCTTCTTGTCATATTTCCTCGGGTGGGGGTGGGGTGCAAAGGAGAGAAGCTCCTTAAAAAAAAAAGTCCTGATCTTTCCCCTTTTCCCCAATCCATCTTTGTAACAGGAAAAGAGATCAAAGCTCAAAACGAGTTCCTTCAACTAAAACTAGGAGGGGAAAAGCAACAACAACAACACTGTGCTCCACCAGTGCCAGTTGTACCTGAGGGTTTACAAAAAGATTCCCTGGAAGTTAAGGAAGTGGGACACACCCAGATGAAACAGGGCATGCACCAGAATAGAGTGCCAGCGACAACCCAACAGCCCACCCACCCGCCCGATGTACAATCAATCTCGCCACACCTCAAGGTGGACAAAGGAAGATTTTGTTTCTAAGGCCAATATAAAATTTAACCCATCAAGAGTTAAACTATTGCCATCAGTATCTCCCTTTCCCCCTTTTCTCTCTCCCCACACCCCAGTTTGGGCTCTTTTCCCCTTCTCTTCCTTTTCAGTTTACTCCAGTGTGTGTGCAGATTCCTGTGTCTCAGTAGAAAATTGGGTTGGTTGGACCCAGGGGGCCCAAACTCTCCCCTCCTCAGACTCCAACTGGAGCTCCTGTAGAAGAGGCAGAAGATAACAGGACCTTTTGGAAGGGCATTCACTTGTGTCCCTGGGAGCTGGGCAATCACCCAGGGTGGGGATTTTCTCAGCTGGGGAAGCTGTTCCAACCCTAAACACCCCAGGAGCCAGAGATAAATGGTTCCCCTTAATTTAATTCAGCAAGCATTATGTAGTACATACTCTGTCAGTGACTCTGGGCTGGGTAAGGCGCAGGAGGATAAGGAAGGTTGGTTTGAAGTTTTAGGGGGAGACATCCTGGGGAAGCGGTAGATGGCATAGGGCAGCCTAAGGGAGGTTATGAGGGACTGGATGGAGTCCCTAATCGGAGGCTTCCCCTATCTGTTTCTTACCTAGTTCTGTGTCTCTCTCCCCACTCCCTGCCCCTAGCTGGGTGTAGCAGACAAAAGACAGGCGTGGGACTCAGACCTGGTCTTCTCTTCTTCTGGCCACTTGGACATATAGCCAGTTATCCCTGGACTTCCAGGCTGTCTCTCCCCTCCCCCCAATTCAGGCCCTAGGAGGAGACATGAGCTGGGGGTGTTTGTTTGTACTCCTGGAGTTCTCAAAGCTCAATTCTCAGAGCACCCTGAGCTCTGGACACAAGACTCTCAGTGTTGCTGCTTCTGTCACAGTCAGACATGGGGCAGGCTTCTAAAGTCTCTAAATAAACCCTCCACAATTCCCTTAAGTCTTGGAGCTAGATGATTTCCTCCTCCCTTAGCTCTCCCAAATTCCCTTAAATTGTAGGGGCTCCACAGATCCACACAAGAACTAGAAATGGGGGGGGGGAAACTGGCTGCTCAGGCAGAAACTGAAAGTGATCTGAGGTCACTTCTGGAACTAGCCCTGGCATTGGGGCCCCCTTCTAGCTCTTCCAGATTTAATCACTGCTCCTGACACCTGACTGCTTCGTAGCTCTGACAAGGTCACTCCATTAATGGAACTGGCATCCCCATCAAGATTGAGCTTTCTTTTGAGATTTTTTTGTTTACGGGTCAGTCCCATAGCTCAAGGTTCTTTGACCCTGCCTGGGGGTGGGACACACAGACTTAAATCTTTAAGTCCCTGGAAACCTGGTGTAGCCTGGTACTTCCTTTACCAAGGATTTCAGAGCTGGCAAGGACTTGGTAGATCAGGACCTAAGAAGCTCATAGCTCCAGCCAGAGAGCGGGCACGTAGCAACTAGGGAACAACCCCAGGTAGGAGGCATGGCACAGCAACACTATACACCCCTCCTCCAGGTTCTAGCTATGCCAGGCCCACGCCTAGCTACCTGCGGCACGTTGGGGTATGTCCTTCCTTAGTAAAATGCAGCGTCTCTTGTCGGAAGTCTGTTGGGCATGTGTCCCGTCCAGGACTCACAGCCCACTAGGGGTGTCCTGTCCGCAGCACACTGGGATGTCCCCTGCCCACAGTCCATTGGGTCGGTGCCCCTCCAGTACCCACTAGCCACTAGGGTGCCCTGTCCCCTTAGGCCCAATACCTGCAGCACGTTGGGGTGTCGCAGCCTCTCCAGCAGCACCATCTCCTTGAGCAGTTTGTGCGCTGCCAGTCGGTAACAGCCCCGCCGAGCCCCGAATTCTCGGACGCAGCTGCCCAGGTCGTGGCCGCTGAAGTCCACGGCCTTGAGCGCCACGGCGACGCCGCCAGGCAGGCGGACCCGATACACCGCCTTAGTGTAGCCCGAGCCCACGTACTGCGCCCCGGACACGTTGCGGAGCGCGGCGCAGCCCAGGCGCGGGGGGTCAGGGGCTGGGGGCCAGCCCAATGTGCCGTCGGGCGGGGTTCGGCCCCGGGGAACTCGAGGGGGCCGGGGACGCTGCAGGCCCGGGCCGCCTCGGGCCAGGTCCATGAGGCGCCGCCGTTCCGGTCGGCCCGCGCCGGGCCCGGGTCCTCCCCGAGTGTAGCGCTGCACCTCCTCGTAGCGCGCCCGGATCTGGCGCGCCAACTCCCCGCGGCCCCCGCGACGGCCCGGGGCCGGGGCTGGGGAGGGGCCGGGGGGCTGGCCTGGCCGAGGCGGCTCCGATCCCGGCACGAAGAGCACATTGAGGACAGAGCCAAGCAGGAAGGAGGCGCAGAAGCCTGCGGCCACGGCGGCCCGGCGGCGCCGCATCACCGCTCCCGCCCCCCTCTCCTCCTGGCTCTGCTCAACTCCGCTCTCCCCCCAGCCCCGTTCTCGGCTCGCTCAGGCTCCGAGGCGGCTCCGCTCGGCGCCCTGCCGGACCCCCGCCCAGCCCGCGCGCATGGCCGGCCGGTCCCGGTCCAGCTCCCGGCCCCTTGCAGGCAGCGCATCAGCCTGACACTTGCCTCCCTCTTGCTCCCCCCCGCTCCCCCCCCCGCTGCTTATAAGGCCCGGAGCTGCCCCCGCCTCCACCCCGCCCTCGCCCCCGCCTCCCTCCTCCCGGGGCCCGAGTCCGCTTCCCGGCACCGCCCCCTCCGGCCGCCCGGCCCGGCCTTCTCCCGCTGACTGACAGCGGGACCTCCGCCCCCCCCGCCCTTCCCCGGCCTGGGAAGCGGAGCTGAGGCAGCTCTGGCCCTTCACAGCTCTGTGGCCCCGAGACGCGGGGGACAAGGCAGAGGGCTTGGGGGAGAGGGATAGAAGGGCAGCGTGTGACTCTCTGACCGGGCAGTGAGCAGGGTCTGTGGAGTAGAGCTGGATTGTGGATAACGGAGCGGAGGCGGGAGGATAACGGGACCGGGGCGGGAGGCGGGTAACGGGGCTGGGAGTGGGGGAGGGGGGCGAGCTGCGGATAACAGGGAAAGGTCACCTAAAGGTGTAAAGGGCAGGCAATTAACTGGATGGTGATGAAGGTAGGACACTTTAAAAGTTATTGGGCGTGGAGCTGGAGTTCCCTTTTTGGGAGGGGAAGGCCGCAGACAATACTCAGTGCTGTTAACTCAGCATTCCATCCATCCTCCCGTCTGTGGTGGTGGTGAGAGTACTGGGACCCCCGGTGAAGACACGAACAACTTCAGGATAGGGGCCCAAGCACCTGCCTGTGAGGTTGGGGAGTAGAGGGGGGTGCGGATTGTTCAGGTGTTTGAGGCTGAGTCCCATGGAACCCTCTGGATTTGAATCTTTCCACCCATCCCCCTTAATACAAAGGCTTTCCTGGGCCCCTCTAAACCCACCCGGACTAAGGGAGGCACCCTCTTTAAAGCACCTCTACTGTGATCGTTTCTACGTTACGCCTGACTATCTTCTGGCTATCTGGAGTACTCAGGGAGCTGAACACGACCTGTGTGTGCACATCTGTCCTGTGTGTGTGCATGCACACCTGTGTGTGCACAAGAACCGCTACTCGTGTGACTTGCTCGTGTGAGTGTATATGTAACTGCTACAGGTGTGTGCGCGCATATTGGAGTGCATTGTTTAGAGTCGTTTTTCTGAGACAGTCCGAGTCGTTTCTGGGTGTCAATGTATATAAGTTTGTGTGTTTAACACTGTGTGTGTGTGTGTGTGTGTGTGTGTGTGTGTGTGTGTGTGTATGCCTGAGAGCTGACTCAACTGAGATGCCCATTCCCTCCCCTCCCTCCCTGATTGCATCATTAGTGCTAATTGAGGGGCTTTCACACCCCAGTGCATTAGCTGTTTGGAGTGAGCTTCCCCCCTCCTGAGAGAGATAAGCCGTTGCCCCTCCCCCTCCTCCGCTCCTGAGCTCCACTTCCCGACCACCCTGGGTCTGTCCACCCAGCCCCCATCATCTTTCTGGTCACCTTCCTGCTTCCCTCCTGAGCCTTGTCTGGCTAACCTCCTTTCTCAGCCGCACCCCACCCCCCAATCGCCAAGGTGACAGGCACTGGCCTCTACCACTGAGAAGGTGGTGTGAGGGAGTTTAAAATAGAAGGATGAGGGGCCTTTTTTGGTGACAGCGCTGGGGAGGTTTGTTTGTTGGGATTTGAGTTTGTCTAGAAACTCCTTTAGGGGTGTTGGGAACTGGTATTCCTATGGGAATATGGAACAAGATTTCCTACTTCTTTTGCTCTCTTGGGTTGGGGGTGGATGAAGTGAGGATGGGAGAGGAAAGGAAAAAGCTGTATCAGATTCTCCCTCATTGCTGTCCCAGCATGCGATCTTCAAAATGCCATTCCCAGCACTGATTCCCTGAGACTTACTAGATTCAGAGAAAACCTAAGAACCCAGACTACTCCGCTTCTAAGAACTCTAGCCTAGTCCATTTTTGGGTTCTCATTTTTGGAGGATAGGAAATGACAGAATTGGAGAGGCAGGCTTCCAGTGGAGGCCTAGGGTCTGGTTGGGATTGGGGTCTGGTCCTGATTAGGACTGTTCTGTCCAGTCTGAGCCCCTTGGCTTCAGTGGGGGTAGGGAAATGGGGGTGGGGTGGGTAGTGAAGAGAAAGAGGGGAAGGAGCAGATGCCCTTCCTGGCCCTCACACCAGATGTCTTTGGTCTGTCTAATTAACTGTGCTGGGAAAACCAACCTGGATTTGTAAACAGAGCTACTGGCTAAAGTCAACACGGAGCAGCGGCAAACAGCAAATATACTCCTCACACTCAGGCCTCAGTCCAATTCAGTGTGAATTGGCTTTGGTGGGGAGTGGGAAACTGTTTGGTACCAGGGCCCCCAAAGTCTATGGATCATAGCAAAAAAAAAAAATCACCAGCAAAATTCTGACTCTTTCCCCTCAATGAATCAGGATCACAGAACGTTAGTGTTTGAAGTATGATGATTCTTAGAGATCTGGTCCTTTTCCTTCCCTCTTCTCTTTCTTTTGATAGATGATGTTCCTAAGCCCAGAGGCCTAAAATGAATTGCCTAAGGTTGATTAGCTAGTTGATGGAGGAAGGGGAATTAGAACCCAGGTCTCTTTTTTTCCCCTCTTTAGTTCACACTGTCCCATCTAACCTAGGGTTGAAGGGAGGGGAAAGCAGAGGGGATGCTGCTTACCTTTAAGCATTCGGCTGCCCTATTCACAATCATTTCTACAAATCTGCATAAAACTCTCACTCCTGGGAGAAGCTATTCTGAGTATTGAGTCAGTGAAGAATTCTCCTAAGAGTCTGCTCGGGAAGTTTGGGGGCTGCCTTTGAAATAAAGACTCAGACTTTTCTTTCCTGACTTTGTGGGTCTCCAGCTTCAAGACTGTGAGCACAACTTGAACATTGTTATGTGCCTTACACATCATGTAGGTATTATAATAACATGTTCCAAAATTAGATAATTATTCCTATGATATCTTTGCCAAGATACAATGTTTCTGTTATGGTTATGAAACTTGAATGCACATTGAGGTACAGCCGCATGTACATGGACACATATACAGGCCAACAGACACATTATACCCCTCCTCCCCACATTTAGATTTCTGTCGTTGGAGACTAACTTAGACATGAAGATACACACAGATGTGTGCATGAGCACACACTAAATGGCAAATGGGTCTTTGGGCTCAGAAAGCAGAGAATTGAACTTTGGACAATCTAGAGGCTCTGAATTTGTGACCGAGCTCTTAACTGAATTTAGCTTGCTTGCTTTTGCCACCCAGGGAGAAAGTCATTTCAAAGAATTGAAGGAATTGAAACTTTACAGGCACACGTTTCTTAGGGAATCCTTAAACTGAAACCCTTCAACCTAAAGTCTTCAGGATTTTTCCCTTTTCCCCCACAACAGTTAAATACTTATGTGAATAATGTATCTAGCTCCAAGAAAACATTGCTTCTCAGATTGTGGGATGTGTATTTTGAAATGGTGTGTTTTGTTATCAGAACTAGCGTAATGCCCTGTACATGGTAGGTGCTTAATAACTATTTGTTGAATTGCATGGAATGGATTGGAATTAGAATCGTCAGACTTGAAGCCCTCAGGTCAGAACATCCTTAAATCAATATGAGGGCAGGCTGGGCCAAGGGTTCGGTGAGCAGCCAGCTGCTGGAGGAAAGGGTTAAGGAGATCCTGTGCTTTACTCAGAGTGATCCAGTGCTATACTATGACCTGTCACTGACAATGCCTCAATGGGAAGGGGCTTAGAGAGTCCCAATGGAAAGGGAGAGAAGAAGAGATATATAACACAATCCTCTTTCCCTTCAAAGTTATCTCCAATTTTGTAATTCTGGTTCTGTCTCTTTTAATTATTTCTTATTTATCCTGTGTGTAGCTTGCTTTGTATTTATTTGCTTGTGTATTGTCTCCTCCATTAGACTGGAATGCAACTAATGTAATGCATTGTCCTTGAGGACAGGGACTGTATTTTGCCTCTTTTTGTCTCTCTAGTGCTCAGCACAGTTCCTGGCACATAGTAGGTATTTTATAAGTGTTTATTGATTGAGTTTTTTAAAAAGTCTCTGATTTATCTCCTTTCTGATTCTATTGCTGCAGGTCCTAATTCAGCTCCCCCCCTCCCCATGACTTTGATCATTGATTAAAGCAGCCTCCTAACTGGTTTCCTTGTTCTCCATGCTCCCTGGGACAGCAATGTAACCTATGGCCCTGATAGATTAATCTTATGAAAAAACCACTTTGATTGTCATTACTCTATCAACATCCTTCACTGTTTTCCTGTTTCCAGTAAGCCAGACATTTTGGCATTCAATCTGGTCCCAAATTAATTCTCCTGCTTTTATGTCCCAGCTGGTATGTACCCTGTACTCTAATTATCTCAACACACTGCATTCATCCCTGTCTCTGGTTAAATCTGTGATTTAACATAAATTCCAGAGAATCACCTGCAACAAGGAAGAAGTTAATTGACTTGCCCAGGGTCTCACTGGTAATGAATACCCGAGGTGGAATTTGTACCTGGGTCTTTCTAACACCAAGTCCAACACTCTAGATCAGACTGACTTGCATTTATTCTAATTTGTATCATAGTTATTTTCTCTCTCCCTTTTTAGAATCTGAAGGCAAGGAACTAGCCTGTCATATCTCTCTCCCCTAACCAGCCAAGTACATTGCATTAAGTAGGTGCTTAATGCATATTTATTGAATTAATGCTGATGGAATAGTAGACACTTAATGCTTATTCAGCTTGCTGAAGTCATGCCAGTTTGAGCTGTTGATAAGTCAGCACAGAACATCTGCTACTTGTCATCTCAGCAAGAAGTGACTTTCAACTTTGGAGCTGAGCAAAGAGTTATTCCCATGGTGGAAGTGCAGAAAGATCCAATGGGAATTTCAAGATTCCAGATTAACAAGAATTTGATTTGAATTAAATTGAAGATCAGTCCCATTTATAAACCCTTCTCTGTCTGACTAGATGCCTCCCTCATTCTCTGTCTCTTCTTGGAACTTCCTATTAAATCACTTATCACACCATTTTCCTGTTGGAGTTGGTTGTGAATGAATCTTCCTAGCAAGACCCTAAGCCTCAGTCTTCTGTTTCTCCTGTGTCATCCTCAACTTTGTCAATGAACAAGATTTATTAAAATACCTACTATGCACCGGGTACTTCGATAACTTCTGAGGTGACAAAGACAAAATTAACATGGTCACTGTCCTCTCAGAGTCCATTCTGAGAGACAACAAGTGTAGTGTAAATTTATGCAAAATAAATGCAAACTAATTGGGAGCTAAGAGGCAAACAGTCAATTTAGAAAGTCTACTTCAAGTTCCCCTATGTCCCCATTTCTGTGTTCACTTCTATGAAAAGCATTAGAGGAATTCCTTGAGAGGAGGGACTATCTTTTACCTTTCTTTATATCTCTAGCATTTAGCAGTAGGTGCTTACGGTAGGTGCATAATAAATGTTTATTTGATCTACTAGAGGAGAAAGAAAGTGTACCTTTCCTTCAGGCTGTATTAGTAAGCTCATTGCATATGTCCCTTCTCTTTTTTCCTCTCCACTTTCCAAACGTTAGCCAGGAGGCTGTTCACAGAGAGCCAATTCTTCATTCTTGACCTTTGACAGGAAGAGAAGTTGTCCAGTCCACTTTGGATGTGTTGTGATGTGTTATCTATCTCCATTTCCCCCACCCCCTTCTTCCCGGGCCAAAGGTCTCTTTGGGATATCAGGAGCCCTTTTGGCTCTGCTGAATCTTCTGAGCTCCATCCCAGTGAATCTATCCATCCATCTGTTCATCTTTCTGTCCAGTCTTAGGCATCCTCCAGCCCCCAATCTTATCAAGAAAGAGATACCCTTGGGAGTTTTAAATCGTTTGTTGGGGCATGCAGGGAATAGATCTCTCTGGAACACTGAAGACTGGGGGTGGGGTGGGGTGCAGGTCAAATTACTAATCCAGAAGCCCTAGGGCCTTAATTTGCACCTTAGTAGGGGTGAAGGACCCTCCTCTCTCCCCCCAGAGGTAAAGCTAGGCTGGCTCCTCCCCTAACTATGTGTCTGGGGGCTCAGGCCCCTTTTACTGTCCCCTCTGCAAAGAGACTAATAGGGCAGGCTCCCCCCACTCAGGCTTCCATCTCCTTTCCTGGGGAACCTAAGCCTACCCTCTCAACCCTCTTAAACAGATGCTTCCCCCACTGTGGGCCATTAGACCTGGCTTTACCAACTCCGAAGGGTCCTCCTTCCTCAAAGGATACAGTTAAGGGGGAGAAAGGGAAAGGGTGGGAGAGGCACATCTCAGGGAGCCAGGAAACGGGCTGAGAAAGAGAAACAATGTAACAGAATGTATCTGTATTGGTATGTGAACATTGCTGAAAAGAGGAGGGGGGGGCAAGGAGTGTGTGTGTGTGTGTGTGTGTGTATGTGTGTGTGTGTAGAGCTGGAATGTGAAGGGCTGAGATGAGGTCACAGAGACAGAGACACAGAGAGTGAGAGACAAAAGTGACAAAACCAGAAGAAGCTCAGAGATTTGGGGAATCCCCAAAGTTCCTAGGCTCTGGGAAGGCCCCATCCTCTGATCGCTCATTTGGGAAAGAAATGTCTCATGTTCCCATCCTGAGACCCCACGGAGAGGAACTAAGCTCTTTTCCAGTAACCGGTGGAATTTCTTCCTGCCTGTCTCTGTATGTGTCTCTGTAGATCTCAGTCTCAGTCTCTGTCACTGGTTCTGTCTCTGTTAAATTCAGTCTTTTATATTAGTATGGGGCCCTATTCTTCTAGCTGTTTATGACCCTCCAAATCTGTCTCCGTGCCCACGTCCCAGAGTCTCTCTCATTTTCTTGGTCTTCATCTGTGTGTCTGAGAATTTCCTGGGGACTTGGGCTCTCGCTCTCGCTCAGGAAACCCGACCTTCATCATCTGTTTTTTATATTTGGGACGTCAGCTTTACTTCCTACCTGGGGGTAGTAGAGAGTGGGGTGATGGGGTAAGCCGTCTTGTTACCAGCTCCCCCACTCCAAGGAGCCCATTGCCTCCTTCTCTCTTCTTCTTCCTCCCTTCCACCCCCTAATCCGAAACTCAGATCCTTTTTTTCCCTTCAGGGATTCAGAGTTGTTTCCTCCCCCATTCTGTCTATATGCAATTAAAAGGAAGTAGAGGACCAGGCTTGTCCAAGTTTACTGCAAGGGAGTGGTTCCCCACACTATTGGAGAGGCTGGTTTGGGAAAAAAAATGAAAGTCATAGTCACAGAGAAGCAAAGATCTTTTTAACTGTGTCAGCCAGAGTAGGCCATTGCCTCCATTCCTCTGTTTCCAGCAAGAAATCAGAACAAACAAGACTCAGGAAAATCTGTTGAATTATTCTCTTTCTGAGGTGTGGTAGGATGGAGTGGGGAGCAATTCCAGAGGTCCTCAGTGTAACAGGGGAGACCTGCCTTTTGAGGATTTCATAGTTATGACAGTGCTAAAGTCATTGCTCTTTCCCCTCTTATCAGCCCCCAGCTACAGGCTATGAGACTAGTGATTACTGAGAAATGAAGTGACCCACTGACCCAGACCTATGAGCCTTTGAAGAAGTAGAAATGGGTTCTTCTCTATGAGGAGAAAATTGAGCTATGACTAGCCATTTCCTTACTGAAGATGACCAACTGGTTCAAAATGCAGCCCTAAGATCATCTTTGGAATTCATGGTATGAAAAATAATAGAAGTGATTTAAGTTAAATTTAGTTGAATGGGATGGGGAATGAGTTATTATGATTTAATATGAGTTATTATAATAAGTAAGGCCATGGAATCTCGGGGACTAGGGGATCTCAGAGATCATCTTGGAGACCTCTGGTAATCTAACAGAGGCCTCCAGTGGTACCTTCCCACTGAACACTTGGGAAAGAATTCACCCTTTCTAGGGAAAAGTTTCACTGTTTTTGAATGAAGGACAAAAGAGAGCAAAACCCTCTGGAGTGATGGGATTGAGTGGATCCAATTGCTTTATTGGAATAGTGGGAGCAAACAGGCTTATTTTCCCCACAGCAATCCAGAAATTAGAACTTTGTCTTGACTCTGTCTTGGAAATATCTGACCTCTCACACCCTGCACTTCCTTCTACTCTGCTGAAAGAAGGCAAGGGTTGGATTTTTGTGCCTGCTTCATTTTTTACCCTGGGGCAAAATTCTGGTTACTCAATCCTGGCTCTGGGAAGGAGGATGAGAGGTAGTAGAGAGGATAAGGGAGGAGGCTAGAGTGGGCATGTGTGTGTATATAGGCCTTGTGGAAAGGGAGGCTCCAACACAATCCAGCCAGTCCTTTATGCTATAGGGCCTTCAAAGCCCCGTTGACCTTCAGAAAAGAAACTTGATGAGATTCAAAGTACAAGTCTTAGTTTCTCAGTCTGAATGAGTAAGTGATGTTAATCAACATTGAAAAGGTCACATATCCAAAATGGCAGTGTCTCTACATATAGATTCATCGTACTAACTAGCCTAGTTTCTATAGCAGCTCACATTTTCTTGGCCCTAAGCACTAAGGTCTTCTAAGCACTTTTGTCAGCAAACCCTGTGAAGCAGATGGTGCAAGTATTATTAACTCAAATAAACAAATATGGAAATGGAGTAAACTCAAAGAGGTTAAGTAACATGCTTCATTCAGGTTACACAGCTAGGAAAACTTGGGACTCAGGCATCTGGACTCCAAGACCAAATCCAATCTTTTTCCTACTATGCCACTATTCTTTGATTTTCTTAATACAAAGGCCTTGGCTTTTCCAGCTCTTTAGTTCCCAACGTACAATTTGTCACTAAGTCCTACTATTTCTTCCTTTGAAACAGCTCTTCCATTGACCCTTCCTCTGCATTCTCATTTCTATCACTTTAGTACATGTCTTCATCACTTCCCTCCTAGACCATCTCTCCCTTTCCACCCATCTTGCATAGCACTTCCAGATTACTTAGCTTCAGGTTCTGCTTTTATCATTGGATGGGATGGAGAGATGTCCATTAAGTGCCCCAGTAGATTCAGAACTGGTTGAATAAGATTAAAAAAATGTTGATTAAAGTTCAGATGTCAATCTGAAGGAAGGTCTTTAGAGGAGTATCCAGTCTGTTTTTATCAACATTTTTATCACTGATTTGAATGGAGCCATAAATAACTTATTAACTTATAGGTATCATGAAATTGGGAGGGATAGCTAAAATATGGATGACAATTAAAATCCAAAAAGATCTTAATAGTCTAAAATTTGTCTGAATTGAAGATGATTAGATTTCATAGGAATAAATTTAAATTATTATACTTGTGTTTCAGAACTTCGTTGGTTCTATGATCTCTTCAATGAGCAATTGACCTGAAATGGTGGAGAATCAAATCAATCCATACCTCTATATTCTTTATGATTCTTCTACAAGTCATCCTATAAACCCTCCAAAAGGTTGGAAGGTACTCAATATTCTGAAGATTATCTTCTAGATGGCTTGACTTGAATGGACACTAGTGGAGCGTATAGATGTTGTTCATCCTTCCTTTCAAAGAGGACCAGTGACCTCACAGGGTAATGTCTTGACTTTCTTGTGAATCGGATTTAAGTGAGGCAGAGTTAGACACAGTCATCAGCCTCACTCTCTCTTCTAGAGTCACTGAAGTTCAGTGGCAAGATAAAAGTCATGATGACTGGCAACGGCCTAGGATGCAGTGGATGATTTTGGTGTCTTTGATGTCTGACAAAGCCCAAGACGCTCCACAACGCCTGCTTCAGCCACATTTGTGGCTGTTAATTGTTCTTATCTGCCTATTCCTCTGGGGGAAATCTTCACATGCTTGGAGTAGACATCTCCCTAACTCACTGATGGGTTTGAGGCCTGTTGGTTACCTGCAACCTGGTTTAGCCTGTCTGCCCAGATGGTTTTACTGGAGTATGGCTGCTGAGCACGCTACAGTTTCTTGGAGACACAGGTGAGAGCTGGGTGAAAGGTAGACACCAAAGGTGCTAGTCCTACATACTTTCTTTCCATTCACATCTCTCTAATGATATTGTCTATGATACTTCTCCTGCATATTTATTCTTTCTTGGTAATATGCCACATAGCCTACTCATGCCCATTAAGCACCTTTTCAGTGTTCTCTAGGGGAACCACCAACTTTTATTCTTTGGAGACTGTGTTATTCCATGACTCACATACATATAGAATTACTGGAAAAAGATTGGCTTTTGTTTTAAGTAATTAAAAGCACTTTGTAATTTCCTAAAAGCAATTCAGCCTGCTCTCTACCTCCTGTTTAATTCTGTGTCCAACAAATTGCCCATGCCTATTATCTGTCGTCCACCCAACTACACATATCATATTCTGGATAATAGGCATTCTTCATCCACTTAGTTTTTCCCTGTGTGTATAGTTATGTTGATTTCCTTTGAGTGGTTATAGATTTCCTTTAGAAATCCCTGAAATGTCCCAGTGCTTTGCATCTAGTACAATGTCATCCACCAGAAAGAATGTCTGGAGGAACTCACCATCTATAGGGAATCCCTCTTTCAGTTGGAGTCTGTTGGATATCCTCTGTGATAGGGGCGAACATGTTTGGCAAGCATACCGTTTTGTGCTTCACTTGACCGTTTAACAAAGTTATCTCAGTTGTTACGTCTTTCAGGGAATATAATCTTATGTGCTTTTATAAGCTGTATGTTTTATCTGCATATGGGAGACACCTCACTGGGGAAAGGAAAGAGGACAAATTGAATGCTGTGCTAAGTCCTATGCTAAGTACTTTAAAAATACTATCTCATTTGAGCCTCACAAAAACCTTGTGAGGTTAGTGATATTATTATCCCATTTTTCAGTTGAGGAAACTGAGGCAGACATCAGTTAAGTAATTTGCCCAGGGTTATACAGCTATTAAATCTGAGAAGTCTTTAAAGTAGCATACTGTTTGACTGACTCAAGTGATTTTTTTTTAGGGTCAACACACAATAAGCACATTGAAACTTGTATTGTCTAAACCCTTTAGTCAATTTTTGGGCAGTAAAGATGTGGTCTGATTCTTCATGATTGTAGATATACCCCCAAGGTCTACCTTGGATGCTCTTCTCTATATTTTTTTTGAGTTCATCAGCTTCACTGGGTTCAGTTCTCTCTATGTAGATGTCTCAGAGATCTAAATGTCTTGCCCCAGTCTTTTCTGAGTTCCAATCCTGATTCTTGAATGGGCTATTGGATATTTTGAAAATCAACATTTATAAAATAGAACTCACTATTTTCCCCTAAACCCGCCCTTCTTTCAGACTTCCCCTAATTCTGTAGAGGTTACTACTATCTTTTCAGTGTCTCCTATGTTTACAACCTTGAAGTTATCCTTATATCCGATCAATTGCCAAGTCTTATTGATTCTGCCTCTTCAACATCTTTCATATATATGTCTCCTTATCTTTATTCACTTGGCCACCATGTGGGTAATTCAGGCCCTCATCACCTCTTACCTGGACTATTGTAATACCCTCCTAAGGGGTCTCCCTGCCTCATCTCTCTCCTCTCCATCCTAATCCTCTAAATAGTTCGAAAGTGATGTTTCCAAAACTCAAATGTGATCATTCCTTTCATCTGCTCAGTGAACTCCAGAAGCTTCCCATGTCCTTTTGGAAAAGTATCAAATGTCCTCTTTGGCATTAAAGCCTTTCACAGCCTAACTCCAACCTACCTTTCTAGACTTCATTATATTCATATGAACTTTATATACTCTAGAACAGAGGGGTCAAATCAGAGAGGTAACTGTCCCTGAGTGGGACCTCACCCTCAAAGTATAATTGAGAAATATTTAACAAAATAAATAAAAATACAATAGAGAATAGAGAATGTTAATATGTGGTTTTGGAAGTCACAATATGACCCTAATTTATGGTCTAGAGGCCCCTGTTTCTGTTTGAGTTTGTCATCACTGCTCTAGAGTCCAGCCACACCGGCCTTCATGCCATATATCATGTATGATGTTCTAGATCTAGTGTCTGTCTCTGTGCCTTTGCAAAGGCTCATTTCCACATCAGGAATGCACCCTCACCCAGAGGTGTGCTGGGAAATGTTTTAACAACTGCCTATCTGAAAACTTTTAAGTTTAATTTGTGCTATTAACATTTTCTCTTCTCTCTTCTCTTTCTCTATTATTTTCTGATGTCTAAACAACTGAAAAAATAGTAAATCAAACCTTGATTTGTAGCTTTTGCTGATTTCTGAGGTGTACATGCTCACATCGAAAATTTAACAATAAGCTCTCAAAGTCTATTGGAACTGGCCCCAGCACACTCCTGCCCCTACCCCTAGAAACTCTAGTTTTCTTCAAACTAAGCTCAAGCTCTACCTCTGACCATTCTCCTCTTATCTGCCCAGCTGCTATTCTCCCTGTCTCTCCAATTACTTTATATCCATTTTGTATATGTTATATAGTTATCCATTTTCATCTTGTCCCCTCTAATAGAATGTAGGTTCCTCAATGGTAGAGATTGTTTCATTTTTGTCTTTGGATCTTCTGTATCTAGCAGAGAGAAGCCGTGTGTGTGTATATGTGTATGTGTCTACGTGTGTGTGTGTGTGTGTATGTATATACATATATACATATATATATATATATACATACATACACACAGATATGTTATGTTGTATTATAATTGTTATATATTTACATATATACCCACATACATTATGTATATGTGTGTGTATATGTATGTATATTGTACTATATCTACAGTAAGTACTCAATAAATGCTTGCTGATTAATAGATGAAGAATGTCATTTGTCAAAGATTACCTGTTCCCTTCTTCAACCTTCAACAAGGATGACCTTGACGCTTGTGTAGATTATACCACTGTCGATGTAAAATTAAAAGAAGGCCACATAGGACTGAGGATCTTCTTTATTTCATAGGTGCCATTGCTGAAGAATTTATAAATAAGTAGCTAGCCTATTGGGGATGAGTCTACTGTGTACCTAGTAGGGTGGTTCTGTATTAGGGTGGAAAAATCTCGTATTTGGGTTGAGAGGATCAGCTGTACAGGGACTGAATGGGAAAACAGGTTAGAAAATTCATGTGCAAAAGATGTGGGAATGCTAATGGACCATAAGCTCAGTGTGAGTCAATACTGTAATATGGGTATAGAACAGTGTTTAGAACAAGTGAAGTGATAGTCCTGACACATAAAGGTGTAGAGGGAGGTAGGCAGCACAGTGGATAAAGCACTTTACTTAGAATCAGGAAGGCCTGACTTCAATTCTAGCATCAGAAACTTAGTAACTGTGTGATGCTGGGCAAGTCTCTTATTCTCTGTTTGCCTCAGTTTTCTCATCTGTAAAATGGGAATAATAATAGCACGTACCTTTAAGGGTTGCTTGTGAAGATAAAATCTTTATTAAGCACTTTGCAAACCTTTTCGTTGTCAGACCACATTTGGAACATTGTGTTTCATTCTAATCACCACATTTTAGGAAGGACATCATTGCAAGTCCAGAGGAGGAAGACTAGGATGGTGAAGGGACTCAAAATCATGTTCTATGAAGTACTATTGAAGATTAATTAGGGAGGGGTGACAAAATAGCTGAATCATAGAATCTCAGAGTTGGAAGGGGCCTCTTCTTGTCTGACTCTTACCTAACTATCCCCTTTACAATGCACCTGACAGATGGCCACCTAGCCTCTACTTGAAGATCACTTGCAGGGGTAGAGGGGCGGTCCATTCTACTTTTTAGTTAAGAATGCTTTTCTATATATCAAGCCTAAATTTACTTCCTTCCCACTTCTACTTGCTATTTCTAGTTCTGGCCTCTGGGGGCAATGAAAACATGTTTAATCTATCTTCCACATGATAGCCCTTCAAACACTTGAAGGCAGCTATCACATCTCTCTTTTCCCCATTCTCCTCACCAATCTTTTCTTCTTTAGGATAAACATCTTTTGGTTCCTTCAGTCTGTCATATGGCTTAACCTTGAAAGCTGTCCCCATTCTAGCTTACCTCCTTGGGACATTCTCTCTTTAGGAAGCTCTAGACCTTTCAAAAATGTGGTGCCTAGAACTAATCCCAATGCTCCAGGCTGTGGTCTAATGTCATGATATAATGAAGTGGTTACCTCCCCAGTACTGGGCACTGTACAGTGTAATATTCCATTTATTTCCTTCATTGTCATATCATGTTTTTGACTCACATGGAGCTTGCCTTTCACTAACTCCTCCTCACCCAGTAAGTCTTATTGACCCAGCCAATAGTTGTTTGTTAAGTACCTTCTAGGAGCCAAGTCCTGTGCTAAGAAATGGGGATACAAAAATAAAAAAAAGGCAAAAGACCTTCCCTACCCTCAAGGAGCTCACTATCTAATGGGGAAGACAACATGCAAAAATCACATACAAAAAAGCTGTATGTAGGATATATAGCATGTAATTAAAAGAGAAAAGGCACTAGAATTAAGAGCGTTTGGGAAAGGCTTCCTATAAATGAAGGGATTTTAGTTGGGACTTGAAAAAAGCCAGAGAAGTCAGGAAGCAGAGATGAGGACAGAGAGCATTCTAGGCATGGGACAATCAGAGGAAGTGCCCAGAGCTGAGAGATAGAGTGCCTAATTCCTAGAAGAGTTAGGAAGTCAGTATGACTGGATCAACATGTACATTTCAAGGAGTAAGGTGTAAGAAGACTTGGAAAGGTAGGAGGGGGATAAGTTATGAAAGGTTTTGAATGACAAACAGAGGATTTTGTATTTGATCCTGGTGGTGATAGGGAGCCCCTGGTGTTTATTCAATAGCGGGTGTGTGTGACATGGTTGGACCCAAGCTTTAGGAAAATCACTTTGGTGATTGAATGGAGGATGGATTGGGATGAAGAGAGATCTGAGTCAGGCAGATCCACCTGCCTTATGACTACTGCAATAGTCCCACAAGAGGTGATCAGGGCCTGCTTCATCAGTATCAGGAGAAAAGGGGATA